AATTCATTTGAATGTCTTCACGATTGAATTGTTAGTTCAAATTTGATATGAGTAAACTAGACTTAATGAATAAGATTCTCAAAAAGTTTCATCAAAAAATTCCACTGGGAACCACCCCAAATGGCGTCAACCGGACATAGCATCCTAAATATGGCCTTATTTGACATTTTTTCCCAAGTTCGAGGCCCTATCTGACCCTTATCCCAAGTAAGAATTATTGGTGTCAATTTCGTCATGAAAAAATTAAATTCTTTAATTGTGATTTGAACGCACTCGTTTTAAAATACTCCCTCCGGTTCTTTTTAAACTTCAGTGTTTGACTTCACAGTTATTAAGGAAATAAAGTTGACTTTACTGTAGAGTACACTGTTGAGACACTGTTTGGCACTGTTTGGCACTGTTGAGACACTGTTTGGCACTGTTGAGACACTGTTTGGCACTGTTTTGGTGTGGATTTCTTTGCCAAATAAGGAAATAAGGAAGTGTGAAGTTTATTTTGGACCGTCCCAAAAAAGAAAGTGAGAAGTTTATTTAGAACCGGAGGGAGTATGATCTAACCCGCTCATTTTTTAGTCTTATCCACGAGCAGATTTGAAATTCAGAACGGCTTACCCGCTCACTCGTCCATCGCTCCCTTTTGCTTCGACAGAAGTTCACCATCACTGTGAATTCCTTCTGGTAACACTCTTTTCTGCGCGTTCTTGTCTCTCGCTTGGTTATGCACACAAATGTTTGTGACTAATTTATGCTTTCCCTCATCTTTTACCTTCTAGGTTTATCTCTGTATTCGGAATCAAGTTTAAGGGTTTCAAGATCCATATAAAACCTAGACAGAAGCCTTTATCTCGTGGTATGTGTGATATGTCCTTTTGTAACCTCTTTTTTTGGGTATATTGTTTTAATTTTCCATCCAGAAACATGCATACAAGTACAAGCAAATTCAATTTTTGCTTGTCATAATTTGAGAATTGTTGATATTTTGATCATAATGATGCAGCGATAGTTGTATTTACGAATTATCCTCAATAAAGGGAGAATTATGGCCAAGAATGTCACTCAGAGGCCACTGATATTTCAAGATGAGAACCTGGATGTGTATTCGAAAAGTATAGTTTGCTCATTCCATCTTTACGTTGTACATTGAACCTTTCTTATAAGATGTCCATTGAGTGTCCATCTTAATTTGAACTTATAATTTTGTATTGAAGCTGTGACTGGTGACATATCAGTGAGTTCTAAACAATCAGTGGTCAAGAAAGGCGGTACTGGGCTAAAAGGCCGTGGTGCCCTTCATGACATTACAAACAAGTCATCTGCCCAACCAAAACCATCACAGAAGAAAAGCTTCTCACATAAGAAAAAACTTCTATTTAAGGATGATGAAGTTAACATTGCGGAAGAGGCATTTTTACATGACCACAAGAAGTGTCTTAAGGCACAACAGGCTGCAAAGACCCTTGATCTCCTGGACTTGGGTTTTCCTGAACGAGGTAATTTCCACATTCTACTCAATCTGTTCCTTATTTCATATTTCCATGATCTCTAAAACACTGTTAAAACATTTTTCAAGTTTCTTTTATAAATTGTATCTGCATTTGAGTTACTTTTCTCTTTTAAATTATCGTATGTGATTTGATTTTTCTATTAGCCTTAAACCATTTCAAATCAAATTTCATAGTGGTGGTGTAAATTTCTTCATAATAGCTAGAAACTTTTGCTTTTTATTTGAAAATCTTGGATTTTTTGCATATACGTTCCCCTTAAAGATTGGATTTTGGTGGATAGTGATGAAAGGTGTGATAGCCGTTGGCCAAACATTGCATTCTTATAAACATATACTCCTTATATACCATGCTTGCCTGACCTCATTGTGTTATCATGCCTGGGAGAACATTTTCAACATGAGTTACTACTCTCTCTGTCCATTATAAAATGTAATTTGGTTTAAAACACCCTTTTCGCAGAGAAAGGGTTCTCTTTAGTCAGTTGGAGTTTTTTTCTGATTTGTCGAAAAAAGTCACATAAAAGTGTAAGAGCCCGTTTGGTAGCACCAAAATCGGCTGTTTTGGCTGATTCTGCTGAAATTTATGATATTCTGGCTGGAGTGGCTGTTTTGGCTGATTCTGTTGATTTAAGAAAAAAATATTTTAAAAATATATTTTATTAATAAATTAAAGAAAAAGTTATATGTAAAAAATAGCTAAAATGATCCTCTACAGTAACTTCAGCCAATACAGCCAGAAAAGTAACTCCAACCTTACTTTTTCGGCTTATTACACAATTCGGCGCGCGAAAGTAAAAGTTACGTGTTTGGTGAAAAAGCTGGTTGATAAGCCTGATAAGCCGAAAACAGAGTTCTCCAAACGGGCTCTAAATTTTTCTCATAAGGTAAATTATGAGTGACTTATAACAAGTGTTTTTTATTGGATACATTTAGTTAAGCCAAACAATTAATTTTAAAATATAAGTAGGATTAATGATTTACAGTAGTTGTATGTTGTGGACTTGTGGGCACCAGTGGTTGAGACAGTAAGTGACAGATTTCTGTCATGAGATTTGTTTCCGTTCTTTAGAAGTGCTTGTGTATTTGGGAAGGTAAATGGCAATATAAATGCATGAGTAATACGCTCTTTCCTGTTTTTCTTGTTGGTGGCAAATGATCTTTCTCTTACCTTTTTAGGAATAAATAAACTTGTGGCTGAGAAAGTTTTCTCACTGCCACTGATATCTGAACTACACACTTCTTAATATGGCTCACTAAACTGTTTGCGCTTCTTTGTTATGAAGCAGTAGTAAGTCCATGCAATTTTTGGACGCGATTTTCATTATGGGTTATCTGGAAACAGTCTCTCTATGCTTTAGTACAGGGGTAAGACTGCCTACATCCGACCCGCTTACCCCACCGTAGGTGGGAGCCTATGCGGCACTGGGGTAAATGAAAATGAAATTAAAAAAGTTTGGTTTAAGCCTTTTATAGGGATCCATTCCTTGATATCCAAATGATCAAGTAGTGAGTGAAAAAAAAAGTTAAATGTTCTGACTACTCAAAATGGCAGACATCTGCAACTATTCAGCAGCCAATGCTTCTCAATTTTCATGTGAAAGCATTATTTATGTTTATAATTGATCTCCATTTGGAGATCAAAGGTCCATTTCCTTATAAAAAGGTGACTTTAGGAGAAATCATAAAATACTTCTGTTGTTTTAATGTTTCAGATCCCTTGTATTCCATTGAAATATCAGACTTGAAACCAGAAGATGTGAGTGTTCTTTGTTGTTCATCTACCAACCAACTGGATCTTTTAAATTTAGTGTTGCTTTCATTTATTTATATTGATGTTATTATCCTTTTAGAGCAATATGTCTGGTTGTAATCGCCGCGGATACCCAGAACTAGAGGAGCTGTCCATTCCAGAGGACTCCTTATGGTTTGAATCTTCTTCAACATGGAACTCTCCTCCATCATCTCTCAAAGGCTGTGATTCTCCACTTTCTATTGCGTTGGAATTTGAGCAAGTCGAGTTTAAAATGAAAGAGGAAAGTGATTTCTCTGTTTGATATGAATGTATGAATCAGTGTAAGATTTCTGCATATGTCTATCAGACTATGATCTGTATTATGATTTCTTTTTAACCTTCCATTTCTTTTATCCAGGAAACTGAAACTATCCCTACTTCCATTATGAATTGTATTGGGTGTTAGTTTACACCGTTTTTAAACTGCTTTTTCAGTTGCTTGTACAATAATAGAAATAAAAACTATGTGATTGAAACTTGAAATGCGTGTTGCGGAGAGAGGAATAATATGAGTGACAAAGTTATTACTCCACCCATCTAAGGATGGATCGGGGCCGGGCTCCAGGACGGGGCAGGATTGGGGGTTTGGGATGAAGGCCCGGTACCGACCCGGGTTGGAACTAGGACCAGGCTGGGTCGGGTCTAAGTTTTTTTAAAAAATTAATTGTTTTTTCTAATTTATTCCTACCCCCAACCCCCCCCCCCCCCAAACCACCCGCCTAGCAGCCAGTGAATGAGATAAAATCCAAAAACAAAAAGGGGTCCGGATCGGTCCTTGACCGGTCAAGCCAGTCCACCATTAATGCATCCTGTAGCCCGCCCCTAATATCCCTGGTTCGGGCCCCTCAGTCCCGGTCCGGTTGGCTGGGCCGGGTATTGGGTCGGGCCGAACCAACCCAGCCCATCCCTACATCCCATAACTTTGATTGATAATACATTTATATACGAAATTATATTTAATATGAAAATAATATGAAAATGTTTTTTGTTATATATACCATCTATTAAATTTATAAATTTTGAAAAGTACATAATGTATAAGTGTATAACGATTGATTAAAGTTTACCACAATTGATTGGAAAAGTCATTATTGGTTAACTAAAAAGGGATGGAGGTACTGAGGTGGTGTTTTATATGAACCCGTTAGAACAGTGAGTGATCAGGATTGAGAACGTCAGTTCATATTCGGTGTAGGCTCCTAAGGAAAATGTGTGTGCTATCGTGTTTACTCCGTTTTAAAAGGAGATGTTAGATACTCGTAACTTCCACCTCTAATAGTGCCCAAAAAGGTGATTTACTGATTTGAGTGAGGTGATTTAGATTTTAGAGTTAGGTGTGCATAAAAAGTCATCATACCGAAAAATTCATATACTGATTTGGTTGGGGATTGAATCTGAAATGTGAATCCAAGTGTCTCAGTCAACCATCATCGAACCAATGGTGCGATTAACACCACATAATACTATATACTCCATCCGTCTCCTTTTAAATGTCCCGTTTTACCATATTAGGATGTTTCTATTTAATTGCCTCATACCTTATTTGGTAAATTTTGTGTGGCTCAAAATCATTCTTACTTTATTCTTACTTTATCAATTAATATCAACCACACAAACTCACTTTTCTTAAAACCTGTGCCACCATCTTCCGTCCCATTTAGGATGTTTTCTTTTGAACTGAAATTTGCTGGTCTGGTCTGGTCTGTTTAAGTCTGGTCTGGTCTGGTCTGTTTAAGTCTGGTCTGAACTGGTCTGGTCTGGTCTGAACTGGTCTGGTCTGGTCTGGTAAACGTCTGGTCTCTGTGTATTTTATAACTACGGAAGTCTGGTCTGGTCTGGTCTGGTCTGTTTAAGTCTGGTCTGGTCTGGTCTGTTTAAGTCTGGTCTGGTCTGGTCTGTTTAAGTCTGGTCTGGTCTGGTCTGGGACTGAAAACAGTCCAAAAGAAAACATCTTAAAAGGAGACGGAGGGAGTATTTGTAGTGTGGAGTGCCCTATTAAATCAAGGAGCAACTAGCTAGTATAGGGAACATTACATTACGTGAACCAAACACCCCACTTGCGTTAGCATGGGATATAGCAGCGCCACCACAAAAATGTTTTTTGCTTGTCGTGGTACCAAAGCAAAACTAAATAAATAGTTTATAATAATAATGAATAATGTTATACAAGGAAACTAACTACCATAAAAAAAGGAAACAAACTACTCCGGCGTATAATGCCATACTGGGATTATTCTTACCATAAGTATCACACACATATTTAAGTACATTCAGTGTACGAGCAATATACACGCACGAATACATATAAGAAAATTTGGGCTATAATAAGATAAGATATCTAGGTAGGTCAGTAGGTGTTTTATGATAGTGACAAGGAATATGAGAGAAGAAATGTCCTCCAGGCTGGGTGTATTCGTGCTTTATGTTATCCTGGCCATTTTATTCCTCGTAGTCAACGCAAAAGAGCATACACCTCCCAAGAAATTCTTCAATGTTTTGAAATATGGGGCAGTTGCTGATGGAATAACGGACAATAAAAAGGTAATTCATTTTAATCTTTCACTCAAATACTAAAGCTTAGATCAAGAAACAGCATTTTCTTTCAATCACGATTAGCTAGTTTTCCCCACTTTTTTCTTTACATTTTGATTAGAAAAGACATTTCAAAGAGAAATTCTAATAGTTAATTGGCATTTGCAATTTTGCTTAGGCTTTTGTAAAAGCGTGGAGTGATGCTTGTAACCACAGCGGAAGGAGTAGAGTTTTAATTCCAAAGGGTAAGGGGGCATACAAGTTGGGATCAGTAACATTTAGTGGACCATGTAGGGCTCATCAAATGGCCTTTTTGATCAAAGGAACTATAAAGGCTCCAACAGATTGGCCTGATTTCGACACAGATACTTGGATTGCATTTAACTATGTGAGTAAATTGGTTGTGAAGGGCGGTGGGTATTTGGATGGTCAAGGCCAATATGCGTGGTCCTTAAATGATTGTGCCTCCAACTCTCGTTGTCCCGCTCTTCCCGCGGTAAGCTCGAAAAAAACTCCTTTTCTTTATTTAAAGGGAGGTTTGATTTTGCACCCTATTTTAAAAGCAATATTGGACTTTGCACATATTTTCAAAATCGTTAATGTGCGCACCCCAACAGTCTAAAAACTATGATGGAATGAGTTGCAAAGTCAAATAAATTTATACTAAAATAAAATGAGGTGGACACAATTTTGAACATATGATTTAAAATCTAATATCGCCCAAACAATGACGAGGTTCGGCATCAAATTCTTCTTATTTAACCCAATGTGGATCCTCCATATATGTTACTGTAGTTGGTAAGCTACAAAACATACAATACTATCCTACCTTTCACATAGATTAAGTAAATGGTCAAAAGAATGGGGTCCATTTGTAGTACAGAAATGAGGTCGATTTTATTGTTCCAAAAGGTGGAATCTCCCATCCTAGGAGCCCCCACACTCCGACCCGACAGGATAGTGAAGGAGTAAGTTACAGTGACTCAGTCGGTCCAATACTGGTAGACCTTATACCCGTGTGCACCAGAGGTCCAGCCCAACACACAGAAGCTGTAATCTCCACATGGTAGCTGTGGGTTTCAAACCTTGGTCATTGTTCCAAATTTCTCATCACTCAACTAACTGAACTTATTATGAGGCTGACTTTATTAAGATGAGATCTTCTTCTCAATAAATAACCCTAATATAACTTACTTCTTATGGTCCATTTAGTTTATGTAGTGAACTTAGGTTCTTTTTTTATTTACCTAGTTTGTTTTCAATTTTGTGAAAAATACTTGGGGTGAAATTAAAGAATCGATTTTTAACTCATATAACCTCTTAAAACCTCCCAAAACCATCAATAATCCAGTTTTACCGATAAGACCGTCTAATATATGTATGAGGTCTTGCTCTAAATGTTATTATTAGTAAACAATAAAACTACATATTAGAAGTATATGAGTATATCATTGAAAATTTACAAAGTTCATTACATCTGAATGTTTGTTTTCAAATAATAACCTTTTCATTTTCAAACCTTATTTCAATTTCAAATTGACATTTGGAAAGGTATGCAATACCATTGTTTTGTTTTTTAAATGTGGTCTCCATAATTAGTGTGGCCCTATTACTTATAACCTAAAGAGTAGAATTAAATCCACTTTTGGTCCTACGGGTTTTGTGCCAATTCCACCTTTAGTCCACGTCTTTCACTTTATCCACTTTTGGTACTTGACTAATGTTTTTTTAACCGTTTGTGGTTCTTTTTCGGCGATTTTAACCATCGGAAACAATGCCGGAAGGACCATATATGGGTGAAAACACAATAGTCATGTACCAAAAGTGGACAAAGTGAAAGATGTGGACTAAATGTGGAATTGACCTAAAACTCGTAGGACCAAAAATGGAATTTATTCTAAAGAGAATGCTAATAGGCCGCCCCGGTTTGTACAACCTCAAAATCGAAAAAACTCTAAGGGCATGTTTGGATGAGTGTTTGGAAGTGTTAGTAGTGGAAGTGTTAGTAAGGGCTGGAAGAGAAGGGAAGTGTAAGTGTTAGACATAATTTTATCTTGTTTGGGAGCTAGAGTCAAATGAATGAAGTGTTAAAAATGGAAGTGTTAATAATTTTACCTTGAGGCAGAAGAAACGAGCAAGGAAAAGAGATGAAAAAGGCAGACCATCATACCTGCGGCAAAGTCGAAGCGAGATATCGAAACATTTTATGTTTTTTAGGGTAAATGAGAAGAGTAATAATTGTCCAACACCTCCAAACACTCCAAATCAGGGTGTTAAAAAGTGGGCAATTGAGGTGTTAGGAAGGTTATACTAACACTTCCTAACCTTAATTTACTAACACTTCTTAACACCTCTTAATTTTTCTCCCAAACAAGTGTTATTATCAATACTTACTAACACTTTCATTACTAACTTAACACTCCCCAATACCCAATCCATACAGGCCGTAAAGGTTATTCAAGGTCAAGTTTTCTTTATAAGTAAATTTTAATTGCTCACCTAGAAAACAATTTAACGGAAACAAATTATTACTACATTCCCTAGGTTAACCTGAAATTATCAAAACACCTACTTTAAATATACACTTGTATTTTCATATATTCCCTTCATTTTTTTTAACTAAATCTAGATCGAATTGAATTAACAAAAATTACATAAATGTATTCTACGTCTCTATCCAAGTGGATCAATAGTGAATACTACCTCCGTTCTCTTTTAGTTGCAACATTGGACTTTTTGCACTATTCGCATGTTCTACTTTGACAACATTTTATTAATTGATGTATAATAAATTAAATTTTAAAAAAATATTGTTAAATTCTTCTTATTCTAAATTTTCAAAATATGATTTTTTTTTAATTTTTTTACTAATAAGGAATGAACGATATTAATGGTCAAACTTGTGTGTTGGCAAATGTGAAATGTTGACTGTTGCAATTAAAAAGGAACGGAGGAAGTATGTTAGTGTTCAATACATTTTGTTCATGGAAGACTAACAACAATTTCTTCTTTTCTCTTTGTTGTGGTGTTAGACATTGAGGTTTAACTTTGTAAACAAGTCAAGAATAACTCATTTGAGATCAATAAACAGCAAGAACACCCACATCCACATTTTTGCTTCCCACAAAATAAAGATCTCTCAGGTAAGGCTAACTGCCCCATCAAACAGCCCCAACACAGATGGAATCAAGATCGGATCTTCCACCGGCATCCGCATCTCCCGGAGCATCATCCAGACCGGAGACGACTGCATTGCCATGGTCGCCGGCAGCAAGAACATCAGAGTGTCTCAAGTCACATGTGGTCCCGGGCATGGCATTAGCATCGGCAGCATCGGAAAGAATGTCGGAGAGGTTGTCTCCGACGTCCACGTCACCAACTGCACCTTTGTAGGCACAGATAATGGCGCCCGGATCAAGACTTGGGCCCCATCCAATGCAAGTTTGGTTTCAGACATATTGTTCGCCTACATTTTTATGAAAGATGTGAGGAATCCTATATTTATCGATCAACACTATTGTCCAAGTCACCACTGCACCAATCTGGTAATTAATACGAAGTATATTTACTTATGTTTTGGCTTTGGAATGTGATGGAATAATACAAAATGGCTCACAAAACTGTTTAGGCTTCTTTGTTGTAAAGCAGTCGTCATTCCATACAATTTTCGACGCGATTTTCACGGTAAGTCATCCGAAAACAGTCTCTTTGTGCTTTTTAGTACAAGGGTAAGACTGCATACATCTGACCCACTTACCCCACTAAGGGTAATGATGATGACGACTTATATATCATTCACCATGTATATAATTGTATACTTCCGTATATAGTTTTGTCATTATATATATACTTTGATTGATACTCGTATTATGATATAATTGATTTGTTTTTTTATTGAGCGTTGGCCCAAATACATTTAAAATGGTCCCACGTTTCTGGAAATCCCATTTTCACTAGAGTAAAAGATGGTAGATTTACTTGCTATGATTTCTTCCTCATTCATAATTTAATTTTCCATCGCATTGTTTATGCATTCTAATTAACTCTAGCTTGCAATCTCTAATTAATCTTGTTAGAATTATAGCGTAGTTCTTAATTATGTAATCTGTAATTCTTAATCTAAATATCGAAATATATTCCTTATATCCTTGAAATTAAATAATTTTTCTGCTTGACTTTTATGGTTTTCAAAGTTGATTTTTACTATTACTATTTAAGATCATATACATATAAAACCTAAGCTACAAATAGTTAACATGTCAATTGTAAAATATGATAAAATCAAATTATTCAGAAGTATTTTCATGTTAAAAATATATAACTTTAGAATAGATAATGGTCACAAGTAACAAAGTTTAACTTCAAATGTCAAAGTAATGTAAGATCTTAGCTCTGGGACTGAGGTATGTAGTATATACTATATAAGAAGATTATATTTAAAAGTAATCATCCCGGATGAAACACACAAACTTGAAAACAGACATTGACATTCCCTTTTTCTCCTTGACTTTTATGGTTTTCAATGATTCAAGGTTTTAACACAATGATCTTAACATTGTGTGTTTTATATTTATAGAGGGGAGATGATTCAAAAGTGGGGATAAACAATGTGACATTCAAGAACATTTGGGGGACATCAACATCAAAGATTGCTTTAGCTTTGGATTGCAGTGCATTAGTGCCATGCAAGAACATTAATATTGTAGACATCAATTTGAGGTACTTTCGCCACCATGGAGGACCGGCGAGGTCAAGTTGTAGTAATGTGTTTGGCCAGTCCTCTGGGAAACAGATCCCATCGGGTTGTTTATAGGTTTAATTATATAGTTTCTTCTAATTTATTGATTGTTTGTGCTATAATATATGTAGAATCATTTTTTATGGAGCCAAGTGATCTCTCAAGAAGGATCATAAAATATCTTCAAATAGGATTAACATTTTCTTTTGAATGAGACTCATTCACTCTTTAACAAGAGAAATTCCAACCATTTTTTCTCTTTTATTAAGACTAAATAAATTCTACTTTAAAATGAAAACACAATCGATCATATTTATGAACTTTTTACACTTTTTATTGAGGATTTCTTATATGAATAGATGTATAGTCATTTTTGTAGCTAAGAGAGTATTAATTTAAGTAATTGCTCGAAGTTGGAGTAAAAATAATTAATGGGCTTTTAATTAATAATTAGTCTTAGGAGTTCGCTACTACGTCTATAAATAGATACTAGGTAACGAATCCTTCCTAAGAGCTCACAGTTGTTATTGCCATATATCATTCCTTAGAGCTCTCACATATGGACGTTCTCTTTCTACATTTCCTTATTGATACTTTGTAATTCATCATGTTCATCATTATGAGTATTCAATAAAGTTGTTGTTTCATATTCATTCTCCTTCGCTCATTATAGACTCACGTTGTTCAACTGTTGATCTGGGAATTAATAGAAAGTATGCATAAAAATAATTCGAACTAACAATGGTTCTCATGAGAATAAATTGAGGTGAATTCAACTAATGCCCATTTAGTACTCTTAAGCTGATGCCCGTTAATGATCAAATCAAAATCTTGAAGGTTTGAAGGACTTGTTTAAATGTTCTTTACTATAGCGGACTAACACTAGATCTACCTATGAAGGAGAAAATATATGGAAAAAGAAGAGTTGTGGATGAAGCCCTTTGATTGCGAAGACGCACAACATACGTAGTATGATTCACTCAAATAGTTATCTTGTTTGGAGTTAACTCGGCGTTGTTTTTTTAATTTCGATGTAATACGTATATGTCCTTTAATATTTGATAAATGAAGTATGATTACGAGTTCTTGACTTCTAAATGATCTTTCCAACGAGATAAAACACAAATAATGAACAAATCTTTCGCTCATACATTTAAAATTTTTATGCTAAAATCTCAATCACGTCTTTTACTTTTTAAAATTACTTTATAAATAAGCATAACAAACTGAAACACAATAATTAATTTAGGATGGATGAAGTTTATTTAGGGTCATCACATTTTGATGTACACATTTTGTACATTCTTCTGTCTCTCGCTCAAAGAATCGTCTATCCACAGGCAACTCTGTAGAATTGTATATGGACAGACAATTTTTTATAAGTGAGACAAACAAGTGTACACAAAAATAAAATGTGTACATCTAGCACAGAAAACTTTTTTTTGGTAAACTAGAATATAATTTACACAATTTTTTTATGCACATTGCGAGAACATTTATGGAGTATTTCTTTACCTTTATTACTCCACTACTATAAGTTTATTACTCTCTCTATCCCACTATAATTGTCCCATTTTATCTTTTTGGTCCGTCCACTAAGACTGTCTCATACTTTATTTGGTAAATTTTTTGTGATTCTAAATCATTTCTATTTAATTTTTATTTTATCAATTCAATATCAATCACATAAACTCAGTTTTATTAATAACCGTGTCATTTTGTTTTGTCTCACTTCTTTTGTCCCCCAACTTGGGGGGACTGAGGCAGAAACAGTTTTCCGCTCTAAATCTAAGGAAGAGAGTCTTTGTTACGCCCAATCAACGCCTAAAAGCAGGCATCTTTCTTTTCCTTGGCGGCAAAAGTGGAAACAGAACCCCTTTTATATTGATTTTTAGGCAGTGGGGTGAGAACTGAGATTCCATTGCACTGCGAGAGAGAAGATGGACGGCAGGATGGGCCCAAAAATTGCACAGTTAGCCCAAGTCCACGAAGAAGAATAGGACGGCCGCATAACTCCTCAGGCATCAACTATCTTGTGCTAGTCGTTCTTCGATTCTTGTACGCAGACGGGCGACGGCAGATACGGAGTGACGGAGACACCCACCGCCACCGGCCACCGGATACCGGCCACCTCCCACCGCCCAGTCGCCCACCGGCTAGTCTGCTACCGCCTACCGCCTACCGCACGGCTGCACCGCCACTGCCCAGTGCCCACTTGGCCACTTGCCACACGTCTACAACCAGGTAAGTAATTTTTTTTTGAAAGGAACCAGGTAAGTAATTCTAGTAACTAAAAGTAGTAATAATTTTATTAGTTTATATATTTTAAATATTATTAATCTTTTTCATTATTGATTTGTTATGTGAATATATGTTTTTTTTAGCTGAGTGGATAATTTAGTGAATTTAATTATTTATTAGGGCCATTAGGGCTCATGCGGTGCAGGTTATGCCCAATGTATGATGAAAACTAACGAATTAGGTTGTTATTTTTAATTTAATGTGATTAAATGATGAATTAATTAAACTATTTAATTGGTATAAGTATGTTATTGGAGAATTTCAAAAATTAATTAACTTTTAATTTAAATGTGTACACATGTACAAGATTACTGGAGGATTTCAATAATTACAATTATTTATGTTTTCAAAGAAATACCCGTTTATTTATGTTCTAACATCTAATTCTACTTGTTGAAAAGAAAGGTTTTTTCACAGGGCATCCATTTACTCAGGACCGGCCCTGATGGACGGTATGACGGCGAGGGTGGAGAAGCAGGTGCTGCTTTTCCACTGTGTAGAGATGGAAGACCTGGCTCGCAATGTCGCTTCACAATCTCCTTCTATTCAACTACAATCCATTAACTGGAGGTCTGTCTACACTATTATTACCAATATCCCTTCAATCAAATTCTTGTTTTGGGCTATTCTTTTGCCGTAAAGTTTCGATCTTTATTGGAAATTGATTGATGGTGGTGAATGTTGATACCAACCCAAGATTTCTTCTCTCCTTTTCAATCAATAGAAAGCTAATTTACTTATATATATGAGTATATATAAGTGTCAAATTGTAAGATGAAGTTGCTTTTTTGTCTTGTGAGATGATAAATTGCTTGTATAAAATGTTCATTGGCGAGATTACGTCTCTTTGTAAAGTAGGAATATGATGCACCAAGTAAGTGAAGCAGTAAATCTTTATTCAATGACTTGTGTTTGTTACATTTGTTTATGCAACTACAATATAGGTGCAAAAAATCTTCTAGTGGAAATTAAATTAAGGACACCTGAAAACCTTAATGTACAGTTTATATAACCTTAATTTGAGTGCAACAAATCGTTAAATCAATGGGCTAAAACTTAAAAGTGATAAACTGAGCTACTCACCCTTTATGAGTAGGGATACCAAATTCATTAAGGGCAATTTGGCCAGCTCAACCTATTCCTTTGTCACTTCTTTTATATGACTGAATGTCTGACTGTGAAATATAGTTTTAATCTTTTGGGTTGTCAACACCTTGTGCTTCACAGGAGTTTCGATGATGGCTTTCCCAATCTTTTTATAAACAATGCGCAAAACATTAGAGGACAGCATGTTGCATTTCTGGCATCTTTCAGCTCACCAGCAGTGATCTTTGAGCAGCTCTCTGTCATATTTGCACTCCCAAGGCTTTTTGTTGCTTCTTTCACATTGGTGTTGCCTTTCTTCCCAACGGGTTCCTTTGAGAGGATGGAAGAGGAGGGGGATGTAGCCACTGCATTTACTATGGCAAGAATATTGTCCAATATTCCCATTTCAAGAGGTGGCCCCACCAGCTTAGTCATCTATGACATCCATGCCTTGCAGGTTGTTTTAACTAATTAAGCTGCATATTCAATATCGGTTATCTACTACTACGTATATTTGAAGGCATTTCTTGATTTTACAAAAATTTAAATAATTACTTATTCTGGTGGATATCAGATCTTCTCCAGGTCACCATAAAATAAGACTTCTATAAGGTTGTTGAATAATACTAGTACTTTTAAGCATGAACTAAAGTTCTAGTTCTGTTTCAGACAGTGCACACTACACAGTAATAACTATTCCGTAATGATAAATATTAATTTTGTAATAAACTTATTTATTCTTTAACAATAATTTTTGCTGTCTCCGCAGTATTATTTCAATGAAATTCTTCTCATCATGGTCTGTTAAGTATACAAATTAATTACTTCCTCCGCCCCCAAATTGTGTTAATAGTTTGACTTGTGCGGCCTTCAAAATCGGCACTTTACCATTTATATTTAAGATTGTATACTTCATAAAATCTATAATAAATTGACATTTCAATAATACGTACACCCTTTGTCCCACTATCTTTTTTCCATTTTTTTCTCAGTCCGTCCCACTAAGTTTGTATCATACCATATTTGTAATATTTGTGTGATTCTAATCCATTCTTACTTTATTCACATTTTATCAATTCAATACCAACCACATAATTACCCATCTCTTAATAACTGCACTACTCCCTCATGTCCCGATCTTAGAGGCACATAGATTTTCATTCATCATCATTACTTTAGTGCTGCAAAGGCTCCCACCTTTGGTGGGGTAAGAGGGGGTCGGATGTACGCAGTCTTACCGACGTACTAAAGCACAGAGGGACTGCTCCCAGATGACCCATAGTGAAATCATGTCGAAAGTTCCATGGACTGACTACTACTTCATAACAAATAAACGCAGACAGTTTAGTGACCCATTTTGCATTATTCCATCATATTCCCAAGCCAAAAATAGTGAGTCCATTGCAAATGGAAAAAGGCACATAGATTGTATTAAAAATTATATTTTCAAAAGCATATGCATGTTATGAAATAATTTACTTTTTGGATAATTAACGGTCAAAACTTACAAAGTTTGACTCGAAAAGTCAAAACATGAACTCAATTGTTGGACGAGGTTTATATAGTTTTTGGTCCAAAGGCTTATTATGCTCTCATAATAAGGGAACTATGTCAAATTTTCAATTCTCACCTCATTAACTATTATTGGGTGCTGAAGGAACATACATTCTTGGTTCTATTTTTCTGCAGGAAAGGTTTTACTTTGGAGACCAAGTTTTGCCTTTATTTGAGACTGGAATTCCATTATTAAAACAACGTCTTCTGAAGCTTCCAAAACATGATAAAGTGGGTGTTCAACGCTCTACTTGTTTGTATGTTTGGTCAAATACTTACAGTTCACTTCAAATTATATTTCTTTTACATCTTTGTTATTAATTTGGCAGATAGTTGTTGCATTCCCAGATGATGGAGCTTGGAAGCGGTTTTACAAGCAATTTAGCAACTACCCTGCTGTTAGTCTTATATATTAAACATAATGTTGATCTTTTTTCTTTTTAATCTGTATTTTATTTTTCTACAGATGTACTATATAGTACGTTTGGTGTATCCGTTTCTTACTTTTTATTCTAACTTTTATTCTATATTTTTAAAATTTAGGTTATATGCACAAAGGTTCGTGAAGGTGATAAGAGGATTGTCAGACTAAAAGAAGGCAATCCCGAAGGTTGTCATGTGATCATCGTTGATGATTTGGTGCAATCTGGAGGTACTCTAATTGAGTGCCAGGTAATCACCCTCTCAATTTATTCATCACTAAAGTTTGAATCACAGCAACGGCTATGGAGTTCTGCATGGCTTTTTATGTGCATGAGTGATGTAGGGAAAGATCTTGTATTATAAGATACCACCCAAGGTTACTCCTTGTTTTGCTAAGGTGGATCTTGAGTGGCATAGGTGGGCCCAGATGCCCAATAAGAGGATAGCACCTACCATTAAGACCATCCACCATTATTTTCTTGGATTGATTTTCTTATTCCGAGTATCCCGTGTCACTTTTGTCATTTAGGCTTAACTCTAGAAATAATGGCAAGAATATGATTGAAATAAAGAAAAAGCAAAAAGTGTGACTTTTAATATGCATCAACTATAGTATTTTCACAATGACTGGTGATCTCGGTAATGTCTAATTTCGCACCTCAGTGATTATGACAGTATTTTCGCAGCATGTAGTTCATATTTTTGTCCATTGGTAATAGTTACTAATGGTATAAGACCCCCCCCCCCCCAAATCTAGTATACAAGTGAGAACTGAGAGCTTCACCTAATGCGGATCGTTTTTGGATTGAGCTAGGACAAATATAACATAGCAATGTATTAGAGCCTTATCTGTAGTGGATTGTATGACAGCTGCCCACTCAATAAATTAGGGCAGCCTGTTTGGGGTCAGTTTGGGCCAAATTTTGTTCTCCCTTCAGTTATAAAGTGTTTTGAGCATTTATATTATACCTCACTCTTGAGGATCTTTTCATGGTCTAGAGTAGCTTAATCTGACGTCTTATTTGGGACCTCGTTGATTTTCCTAGAAAGTGTTGGCAGCCCATGGTGCAGCAAAGGTGAGTGCTTATGTCACCCATGGTGTTTTCCCTAAGCGGTCATGGGAGCGCTTCCTGCACAAGGATGGAGGTAATAGATTTGTGTGCTTTTGTTTTCTAGCACCATTATTTCAAGTCTCTCTTCTTAGTAGGGCTGGGTTCGAAAAACCGAAAACCGAAAACCGAATCAAATTAGACCGAACTGCAGCCAAATAAAACCGAACCGCTAAGAAACCGAAACCGAATGTAAAAAACCGAACTGAACCGAAGTTGTTTGGTTCGGTTTTGGTTTTTACCCTTCAAAACCGAACCGAACCGAACAAACCGAACTATTTAAAATATGAAATTTATATGTTAATTGTTAAATATTAATTCTAATTAATCTTAAATCATCAATAGTCTTTGGTTTTCTTGTGTTAGAGAAATAATGTTTGTATTATGTTTAATTTAATTTAGTTTATAAATTCATTTACACATTCATTGTCTGTAATAATGTAGCTATATTGAATGATGATAATATGTGTTTACTAGTTATTAATAGTAATTAACTTTTATTTTTAGATAACCTAAAGATTTTGTATTGATAAAACAATAAATATTCATCTCAACTATATCACATATAACGTATATATTCATGAACTTTTTTCGAACTACTCACAAACAAATTAAATCAATAATATATACAGTTTTATCTATCTCACATTCTCATATAATTCAAGACATATTTATCTCTTCTCATTTTTATTTTATTTTTTATTGTATTGTGCTTGCATTCTTTATGTAATATGTTTGAATGTTTGATCCCTCTAAGTATTATATCAATTTTAAATCAAGTGAGAATTTTTTGGTAAAAAACCGCAAAAACCGAAACCGAACCGAAACAAACCGAACCAATCAAACCGTGGTTCCAAGTTTTGGAGTGTAAAACCGAACCGAAACCGAACCGAACTTTTTACTTCGATTCTATATTTGGTTTTAGGTCAAAACCGAACCGCTAGAACCGAACCCACCCCTACTTCTTAGTTTTTGAACCGCAACTGCTGTTCTTATTCAGGAGGCTCAGAGAAAGCATTTACCCACTTTTGGATCACCGATTCATGCCCATTCACTGTAAATGCCATTGCCAACAAAGCTCCATTTGAAGTGTTAAGTCTGGCTGGATCTATTGCCGATGCTCTTCAAATATGATTGAATACAACCAGCTTAAACGTTTGCAACTGGAGTAGAGTTCAGGAACTGTGGACCTTGCTATTTTCTTTCTCTCCTTAACTAGTCCCTTCTTTTTATGGATTAATCCCTTCTTTTTATGGATCTTATTTTACGCTGTAATAAGTTAACATATGCCCTTATTAGTCATTAATTTTTTTTTCCTGCATATCAAGAATTTTCACTTCGTTGTGCTCAGTGAATTTTTTTGTTCTGTTTATTTTTGTTTTGGGTACTCTCTTGGCGTTTAGCACTTTTTATAACACTCATCTTATACATTTATGCTTGACATAAAAATTAGGTTTTATAAATTTTAGAGAGCAAATACACGGATTTATAAAAGTTATTAAATCCATTTACTATGATGAGACTATGAGAGGATGAAGGCCAGGAGGAGGTCGAGTACTCGAGTATAAAAGCATCTAATATTTACTCTATAATCTCTATGAACACACCGTTATCATTTACTCCATTACATTACACTAATACTTATATCCAAGATTATATAGTTATGGAGTAATGTAGTATACGATAGTATTTACTAGAACTGCTTGGCTGCTTGCTCTATACAACGATTTTTTTATAGCTGATTTTTCAGCCCTATCATTTTTGGTCAAAGAAGTTGGTTAAGGGTTGGTTTGCAACTGCTTTTAAAAAAGCACTTCTCAGCTTTTGGCTTTAAAAAAGCACTTATTTTTCCAAACACTACAACTTTTATTTTTCTCGGCTTCCGCGTCAAAAGTGCTTTTACTTTTTCTATTACACAAAAAGCACTTATTTTACCAAACACTACCCACTTTTACTTTTCAAAATCACTTTTTCCTCAAACACTATAAACTTTTATTTAATCACTTATCCTCATTTCATTAAAAAAAACACTTTTTTAAAAGCAGAAGCTGTTGTAAACAGATCCTAAAAAGGATATTCTTTGGACATGAGTATTTTTTTAGAGCATAATAAAAATGATCCAAGTAATGCGTAATCAGTTAGTTGAGGACATGATTCCACATTTCCACAGAGACCAACTCTAAATAGTGCTGGACTCGGGCCGGGCGGCCCAGCCCGGAACCGGCCCGGCCCGGTTACTGTTTGGCCCGGCCCGGGGCCCGGTGGGTCCCTCGGTTCGGTTCGGCCCGGCCCGGCTGCTGGGCGGTTCGGGCCCGGGCCCAGGTTTTGGTGAACCGGCCCGGCCGGTTCGGGCCCGGTCCGGGCCGGATTTTAATTTTTTTTTTTTTTGAAATTTTTTTAAGTTTTAGGTTGGATTAGGTAATTTGGGCCATTTGAGGTGGTTTGGGATGGTTTGGGGTTGAGGGGGAGGGGTAGGGGATTAAATAGGAGAACAAAAAAAAAAAATTATTGGGCCGGTTCGGCCCGGCCCGGCCCGGTTTGGCCCGGAACCGGCCACCGGCGGTTCGGGCTCGGGCCTCCCTTTCCTGGCCCGAGGCCCGGCCGGGCCCAGGCCCGAACCGGGCCCGAACCGGCCCAAGTCCAGGCATAACTCTAAAGATGTATGGTCTATTTGTATTTTTCTACACTTCAAAGTTACACCTCTACTGTCGGAGAGGCCATTTTACACAATCATCAGTAGCTAAGGTTAACCACTTAACCCCAAAGTAAAAAAGCACAAAGGAGAGATGAGATTGTACATTAATAAGCAGCCATCAAAGCATATGACATAATAGACACACTTGTAAAGTCAAATGCTTCTTAGACTTATTATTCTATTACAGTTACTTAAATACCAAATTTTCTAATGCCATGGGAGTGTCATATGTACAAAAACCAGACACTGCCCAGCACACATGCGATCAAATCGCTTCCACTGTTCCCATTAGTAACTGCTGTATGTACATATAGAATAAGACATTAACAGTTAGAACCCGTTGGCATCGTTTTCAAGAGTTGAAGTTTTGCTGCTTCCAGAGTTTGGCTTCTCTTCAATAGAATCTCCCGAATAAGACCCATCAAGATGGCGGATGAATATATTTAGGTTGCTGGACAGCAAAGGTTCCTGATTTCTCAAAAATGACCAAGTTAAGTGTTAAGGACACTACAAAAGGAGTATTATTATGAACTCTTATGGTGAGCGGCCTGAGGGGTATTGGGTTGAAATGGCTAAATTCTCTTAAAGGAAAAGCATTACGTAAGATCCATTTGAGCCAATTTGATAGCCCCTTTTTTGGCTTAAAACAAGAACCAATTTATTAGGCTGCATGCTCAATATTGAAAAGTAGAGCAAGATTTAGTTGTTTTATTAAGTTGGAAATGGATCATTTTGGCCCTTTTCTGTATTTTAAATTCAATATTATCAATAAAATACATTTTAAATATTTCTTTTCATAGTTCATCCATTTCCACCACTTCATCAAAATCAGTTGCAATTTCAGAACCTTAAGCCAAATTCACCTCTTACCCAACGGGCTCTAAGCCAAAAGCAGCTGAAGTGTATTACCAAATGGAGTCTAAGTCATTAAATAAGGTAAACTTCAGTCAATGTTAATGTTTACCTCTTCAGCAGGATTATGGCCCTCTGACTGGATTAAAATAGGACGGCACCATTTGTCTTCATTCATTAAGCTAGAGTTCTGAAAATGAGCAACTAAAGCAGCTTTTCCCTGGATTCTTGCATAAGCTAATGAGGCAACTTTCTCACTATTAAACTTCTCCCACTTTTTCCCATTGAATACCTGCACAAATAGTTCATGTTAAAGGAAAATATCTATCATACCCATTCAAAAGGGACCCGACTTGGTATGTATTGGGAAAAAGATTAACCTCATAGAAAGAGATAATGCTTTGAGGAGAGACCATATTGATGAAGGCATACCCAACATTGCATTTATTCTGAAGCCAAAAGAGTGGAAAAAATTACCATATTGGGTTCAAGTAAAAAGATTCCCAAAAAGATGAATGCTGAAAAAACTCATGCTTACCTTGAAATCGATTGGCAAATAGAGGAAATCATATGAACTTTTATGGGTCTCATCAATTGCAGCAAGTAGCATCTTTGAAGTATACCTTTAAACAAGGAAAGTAAATATGTGATAGGGCTTGTTTGGTTAGAGGTTTTGGAGATGGGAGGATCTTTGTTTTACTATCTGTTCCCCATTTGTTGTTCCCTATTTGTTGGTCGTAGACTAGAAAATAGCTACCAAGCATATGTTTAGTTATACCATGTGTTTGTAAATACTACCTCCGTCCCACTAAAATTGGGACGGAAGGAGGTGGTACGATTACTAAGAAAAGTGAGTTTATGTGGTTGATATTGAATTGAAAAAGTAAAAATAAAGTAAGAAAGATTTAGAGCCACACAAACTTTACCAAATTTAGTATGGGACAATCTTAGCGGGACGGAGGGAGTAATATTTTTTGTCCCCATTCTTTCTAACCATTTCATGTTAAAATAAAGAGCTCGCCATTTCTAGTCATTTGACTATAGTGTTAGTGACACTTTTTGGACTAGACTTTGGGCTTTTCCCGTTCTAGTCCTTCGATATTGTGAGATAACACTTCTAGTCGTTGAATTTGAGTTTCTCCACAATTAGTCTTCTGATTATTACAAAATTGACACTTGATCTTTCAACTATTGATTTTTCTCCACATTTAGTCCTCCGATTATTACAAAATCAGTGATAGGGCTTAAAGTGTCGCTTTTATAAAAATCGAAGAACTAAATATGGAAAACCTCAAAGAAAGGTGCCAAAAGCATTACTAACATAATAGTCGGGAGACTAAGTGGCAAAACTCTTAAAATATATTATTGAAATAAATCAAACAAATCCCCCATCCAAAAATCTGCTTATTGTCTGAGAGCATGATGCTTACTTGTTAGGGATGTTCTTAATCATCAAAGTAGTTCTGGAATCTTCCCCTCTCGTTATCCTCTCCAAATCAAGCTGGTACTGTTTCTTGTTATCCAACTGGATCCCGGTTTCCATCCTACGACCTCGACCACGTTCAATCAATCCTTCACCATTACTTGATCCATAAGAACCACTTCCATAATATATGGGAATGTTTCTTGACAATGGCATCATTCTAGAAGCAGGAGAACCACTTTCACTAAAACTCCCACCCACAAAAGCAACACCCGCTGTATTCATGCCATGGTTTCCATTATTATTATTAGTATTATTATTATTAAGACTTGAGCTTATGTATGATGATGTATTGGGCGACTCGGGGTAAAACCCGAAATGCCGTTCCAGTGGTATTCCGGATGGTGCAGACCCCACGTGACTGAGAAGCGGGCCCTGCCAGTGTGAATACGGTTTGCCCATTGATGATGTTGCGGACCCGGAGTTAATAGGCGGCGGACTTCCCCATAGAAATTGAGGACCAGAGAGTGTTCCAATTCCCGAGCTTGAACTTAGTTTTGCCTCATTGAACGCATGAGATGGTTGGTTTCCCTGGCTAACCCTTCCAATTTCTTTACCTATGGGTGCAATCTTTACAGGATTTGAGAGGATAGAGGCCAGCCCAGACAAATGATTAGAATTTACAGGACTGAGATTTCTTGAACTGGGAGATGGGCTGTAATTATGCAATGGATTGGGCTCGACTGGACTCCCAAAATTCGCCCAGCTTGCTGTTTCAAAATATAGTCAACATCCAGCTTAGTATGTATCAAACCAGTCAAAATCACAATTCATGAAATAAAACTATCAAAAGTTGTAAGTAAAACCTGGAGGAGAACTGCCAATTGGTGAACCGACTGGGTTCCTAAATGTTCTAACATCATCATGTTCTTGCTCGAGGCTCAATTGTTGCATCAAGCTAATAAATACAACCATAACAAAAAGAGTATAATAGGAATATTAAATCGCATATTCAAAAAAAATCAAACCATTGAAGTATTAATGGTTCCACATCTCTTGATGATTTCATTGGTTTCGTGAATAAAATGTTTTCAATTAAACAAATTAATGCAAAATTTATACTTTCGGCGGGCTCCGCCAGGTCGGCTAGGTTCAAGCTTAATCCGCTTCCCAGCAATGTCACTCCTATTTAATGCCTTAAGAGCTGCATCGGCAGCCCTGACATCATAAAACTCAATGAACTTATGGTGTCTCTTATGTGGTGTCTCCCTTATCTGCATTATATGTAAAAAAAATATTGCGTTTTGAATAGACATTTAATATCAGCCAAATATTGCAATACTAAACATAAAGCAAAAAAAGTCACCTCTTTTACTTCACCATAAGTCCCAAATATTTGACAAAGGTCCTCATTAGATACAGATGGATCCAAATTGAAAACAACAAGAGTTCCTTGGTTAATGTCCTTCTCTGATGGATTCTCCTGTATGCAGAAACCACCAAAAATATCACTCAAAAATCAATAGAACAACAACATTACCTCAGTGCTGCAAAGCAAGATACTGTTTCCGGATCACTCAAATATCAATATGCCAACCATATAAAAATTTAGTAATATTCTTTCTCTGAGATCATACCTTTGGAATCGAGAAATGAATATCAAGTTTTCTTCTCCTTAAAGGCTTATTTTGTAGAGAACGCATTGCAGTTCGAGCAGCACGGATATCATAATAAGATATCATCACAAACCCTCTGTGCTTACAAGCAGTATATAAAGTTCTTATATCTCCATATTGCTTCATGAACAGAAAACAAGACTTCAACAGCCATTCAACAATCAAGAACAGATGTGACATCTAATGTTGAGTTAGAAGCAATAAAATTATTAACTTGGACATAACTAAACCCAAAAAGGATTCAAAAAAGATGAGGCTAACTTTAAACATATATACTATACCCAAATTCGGTTGAATAAGAAACGCAGCTCCATCAACCCGAGCCATATTAAACAACTTAAAGGATTGACAAATGCTCCCAAACAAACCCTAAACGGGCTACACAGACCATTAAGTGGATGGACTTCCCACAAACCGTCTTCAGATCAAGCCTTAATACCATGTTAAAGTGTATTTAACCCAACCCCAAAAAGATCCTCAAGAGAGAAGATTTGCGACAAATGTAGACTAACATTGAACCCAGTAGACAACCAATGTAGGGACTCAAACAAAAACTGTCGGCAAATATAATAAGTACCTCAAATAGAGATCTTAATTCGGAGTCTTCTACGTTACTGTTAATGTTTCTAACAAACAATGTCCTCGAAGGATGCTCTCCGTAGGGGTGTTCCCCAGCCACTGTCCCTATACTACCATTTAATGAGTAGCCACAATTCACATTGCTGTTACTGCTTCCGGGAGACATACTTAAATTTGCAAAGCCATTAAGTAGATTATTTTGGAGCTCAGGTTCCATTTCAAAGCCTCCCCCACCAAAAAGATCTTCTTCTAATTCCAATTCTTCCAGCTGAGTGGGGAGCTCACCTAAATCAAAATCATCCATTACGCCTGCTAGTAGCTCATCCTCATCCCCAGGTAGAAAGTTTCCAGGTTTACTTGTTTCACCTTCTTTTATATGGAATTGACTGAAGCTAGCAGCACTATCATCAACTGACTTGTGAGACATTACTGCAGATTATCATCATCATTATTATTATCATGAAAAAAGTTGATAAGAAATACACATAATCCAAGAGGAAAGAAGGGATACAAAACTTGAAAAATAAAGTATAAAAAGTTGGGCTGCGTACATCCGACCCCCCGACACAAATAAAGAAGCGATTTTCACTATGGGTCATCCGGAAACAGTCTCTCTGTGTTTAGTACAGGGGTAAGACTGCGTACATCCGACCCCCCTTACCCCACCGTAGGTGGGAGCCTTTGCGGCACTGGGGTAAATGAAAATGATGAACTACTCTTATCATCATTTATCGCTTTGTTCAGGTACCTAATAATGTTAGTTTTTGCGTCTGCATACACGGCGTGTCCAAAGTCATCTAATAATTTTAAGAAGTTGAATTACTTTAGTCAGTTTAGGGGCTAAACATAACAGCTGAATAATCTAATGTCATCCAGGTTTTTATGAAAGTTGAGGGTCAGTTTTGGCCATTTAGCCATGTGGAAGAGCATGTACGAACATTTTTCATGGGGAAGAACTGGCAATGAGCTAGAGAACAAGCTTGCATCAGATGAGGTATGATATGCACCAGTTCCAAGGTGCATGGACCATGCATTTCCCACTTTCCCTGAAATGGTTGCTACTGTGAGCTTAAATGCCAAAATCGAAAAAGAAAACAAAAATGCAAAAATGCCAGTGATAAAAGGTTTTAATAAGTACAAAAAATGAATAAAATACCTTCAGGGTCGTTTGAAACTTGGGTCTTGTAAGGCGAATCCAATTGCCACATCCTAAACAAATCACACATACACACTATCAAATGCAGCATAACTTCAACAAAAGAAACACATCCGAGTATAAAGAGAAAAAGTCACTTCAATGTAATAATAGCCCTGAAAAAAAAGTACTTTATGTCATCAATATTATATGGATAACTGTGAAATTTGATGTAATAATTCCCCAAGGGTCAATTGACTTAGCCATAATGCACATGAAACGATCTATTAGTCTGTCTTAACCAGAACGTACTTATGATCAAGACTAAGATGGAATGGGCAATTCTTGATTTGTTTTTCTTGTTCCAATAGGAGTAATTCTTATTTTGCTTTCCCAGAAGAATAAATGAGTAATTCCAAATAAAACTGGAACAAAACACATCAAATTTACTACTCCGTATCATCTATAGACAAGAATCTAGCATAGAAGAATCAATTGACCGAATTCTCTAACACTTGGCAAACACATGTACTGTTGAATTTGGCTCCACCGACATCAGTTTTCACACAAAACCCACCAAAAACCAGCAAAAAGGTCACAATTCTACAATTAGAAGGTCCAAAAACCGAAACCCACATCTGCAATCCAGTAAATCCAGAAAGACAGTAGACGGGTGTTCAAAAAATCACATCTTTTATGTTCCATTACCAAAACCCTTACAAAGTTAATAGAAAATACAGTAGAAAATTCTGGGAAAAGCAGAAGAAAGAGAGAACGCACCTCATGGAAAGAGACTAATGCGTCAGAAACTCTGAATATACTGTTAATGTAAATTAAAGAGACAGACACAGCAAGTATTGAAGAGGGGAAGGAGGCGAAATTGTGTCGTGGAAGCAGAGAAATCGGTTTCCTATACTCCTATTATACTTCGTGGGTGTTTGGATCTGATTCTCAGAACTGATTCTGCTCCTTCAGGGAGCAGAAGCAGAAGCTGGAGTGTTTGGGTGAAATTCCAGAATCACTTCTGGAGCTCTAATTTACTCTCAGAATCAGTTTTTTTAGAAGCTGGGGGGTACCAGCTTCTGAAAACTGATTCTGATTCTGCTTCTGCTTTTAAAAAAGAAGCAGAAGCAGAATCAGTTCCAAACACCCCTTCATCCCCCGGAAAACAAGTGTGGATAGAGGAAGCTATGTGAGAGAGAGAGAGAGGTCATGGAGAGAGAAAGCTGCTTTAGATATACTCCGCAGAACAGAAAAGAAACCCACAAACGAAGAAGTCCAAAAAGACGCACAGGTTCAATAGGAAAGTGGAGTATGATTGGAGGAAAACTACTCAATCATCAACTATCTTTATTATCTGTGAAATAATAATAATTAGAGCTATAATAATGGTGCTGTGAGATAATAGTAATTAGGTGGGGCAACAGATATTGAAAGTCCTAATTATTTGTCAATTTAGAAGGTGAAAATTGACTTTTATCTAATTAATTAACTTGGGAATCTCCCAAATTGTAAACAGTGATCCCAAATTATCATATGTCATATCGGAGAATAGTGATGGATAATGTGAATGATAATTTTTTGGGCTTGTTCCTTGGACGATTTCATGATGGAAGAATGGGTGAAATTGATAATGACTTTTTAAATTATTTGTAAAAAAATAGATGATTAGAATAAATGTGAATATCAATATTTTTATAGAAATATGTTGTCTCATTAGCAATATTAATTACGTAGTAGTAGTAAATTATAGGTAGTGATCAAACCTTTCATTCTTAGAAGCTCCCGGGAGAGAGTAATCACACTCATTTTATTCTTGTATATATCAAACGATTAAAAAAGAAGCTCGAGAGTCCACGATTATAGAAGTAATGTTCTCCTCGTCCTTCAAAACTTTGTCAAATTCGATCGGCATGTAAATAATATAAAAAAAACTATATGAATGAGGTTAATATAGAGGATAAAGAAATAATGCAAACCACAAGTTCATTAGTTAAAGAGAAAATGATAAAATTTTAGAAACAATAAAAAAAAAAGTGGGCAAAGTTATTATGAACAGAGGGAGGGAGTATGATTTACAAGAACTCCACTCTAGACCTACACTAAATTGTGGGCAGAAGTAAGTGAAAAAAATTGGTCAATCAATCATTCAAACAATGGAACAATAAATGTATTTTTTGTGACTAGAAGTGTTTTTCAAATGGTGATCCACTCATGCTCAGTTATGACATGAATGCTTTTTATTTCCACAGTAAATGTGTTTAGAATTCAAAAGTGTGGGATGAGTTTGGGACTTCGGAAATTTGATTTTTTTGGGAACCAAACTTTGTTGTGGCTAAAATAGAAAATGAAATTTTTATTTCAAGTTTGCACTCAAAGTATTTTTTTTTTGTGGATTAGGAATTTGTCACAATTTTGAGTGAAAGAGTTGTCTTCAAGAGTAAGAAGTATTTCAATTAATCTAATAAAATGACATCTTGTGAGTAAAAGGAAATCTTTCTCAAACCAAAACTCTTATAAGAGGAAATATTAAAGAAAAATCTTAGGGAAAACAATTACTTTCCAAAGCAAAATTAAAGCTAAATTAAAGCTTAGTGAATAATTATGCACCCCCACATTTGAGTTACAATGTCCTCAATATAGTTTGGATAATGCCATGGAAGATAAATTCTTCAATAGTGTAATGAGAAGTATTTGAGAGTAGGAAATGTATGACACTAGAATTAAATTCACAAAATAAAAGTTACAATAATTTATCTATCATTTATATATGTCTTCACAAATTTAAAAAAGTTTCTAAAAACTCTATGACACTGCTTTCATTTTTACTTTCTCCCTCATCTACTACTCATTTTTCATGTGACTTCCAAACACACATCGCCGTCAACGATTAATGGATAAGAAACACCTATGTAATAATCACAAAGTGATATATGATCAACTTTCCCTTACTTTTGTATAGTACGATTACGCTTTTGAGTTCACCGATGACACGCTCACATGCGTCCAACTACATAGACTCATAGGCATGGCAATGGGTCGGGGCGGGGCAGGTACTGCAAGACCCGGACCCGCCCCGTGACCTGCACAGGTCCAAACTTGTTGACCCATGACCTGCCCCATGCGGGGCGGGTCCGCCCCGCCCTGCCCCGCCGTAACCTAATTAGCTAGTATGTATTTTTATGGAAAAATTGAAAATAATAATCCCAACTATTGCCGGTCCGCTGAAAATAATCCCAACTATTGATTATTTTTGTATAATTCCAACTATATAGACTATCCGCCAATAATGGTCCATGACAATATATTACCTCTATAAAAAGTGAATTTTATATAGAAATTAAGCGTAAAAATTAAAAGTTGAGATTATTTAGAGGGATTACTTGTTATATCTCACCCCATCCACTTTAGAAACTACAAGAATTTATTCATAGGGACCATTATTGGCGGAAGGTCCCTAAAGTTGGGATTATTCTGTAATAATCAATAGTTGGGATTATTATGAGCGGACCGCCAATAGTTGGGATTATTACTATCAATTTTTCCTATTTTTATTTGTGCGAAGTTGTTACCAATTGAATCTACATAATGTTTATCTCTAAATAATAATTAAAAATTAATATATTAAATCAAATTCATGATACGCTAAAGATTTCAAAAATTAAGGAAAAATTACTCAGACTTGAATAGTTAATCTGTGACAGCGCACCCAAATGTCATTGGAATTCAATTTAAAATTCAAAGTTTATGTATTGAACTTCGTATTGTCGAACGAGTGTAAAACGATTAATGATTTGTGTAATGCGTGTTTGATTATTTTACCGTTTGAGCTCGTATATTAATGATGGGCCTTCAAATACTTATTTGAGCCATCTAAATAAATGTAAGAGCCCAACATTATCTAAATATTGATACATAACCTTTCGATACAAACTAAGGAAGGTCGGGCGGCCCAAACATCATTTTGGGCCCAACCTGCTAAAAATAGTAAGTGTTCAAGAATGGAGTCCTAGGCCCACTCGAGGGTGACCCACACGGCTAGTAGCCGAGCAATATGAATACTAATGTCATAAATAAGTGACAGGATGATTAGAGAAGAATACAAATGCCTACGGTCTAATCTTTGACATTATTGAGCTAAATAATGAGAGTAAGGTTTTTCTTCTATAATATTCATCATGTAAATTATTGCGATGATCCTACACATATTGGAGATCAATAATATGATGTAGAGGGTTGAATTGTTCTAACTAAATTAGAATGAGTACAAAAAGACATCTTTTGACAAAAGACATCTTAGGACCCATCTTTCCATTTTTGGAAGTATTGGTAGATATTTTGGACCCCAAATTGAATAATGGGATCAATTGGGAACCATTCCACATGACCTTGGTACCTGCAACACAAAGAAAAATGGGTGAGCCAACTATGTGGGACGGACATTTTGACTTAATAGCTACAACATTTAAAAAAAGGAAATAAAAAAGGAGGTCCACCCCATGTTTTTAAATTATTTGTAAAAAAATACTAGTACTTCGTAGATGATTAGAATTACTGTGAATATCAATATTTTTATAGAAATATGTTGTCTCATTAGCAATATTAATTAGTAGTAAATTATACTCCCTCCGTCCCTAAATGTTTGTCACTCTTTGACTTTGGGCTAATTAAGAGAACGAAATAAATGCGTTTGACTTTCCAAAAAGACCCTCACCTTTGTGAGGGTATTACCCCAAAATGTAATACGGTAAAAAAAAAGGGAAGAGATGGGGCCGAATAAAGCTTGCAAAAGGAGTGGTCAAAATAATTCAAAGTAATAATGACAAGATGGTTCTACAGTACACTTACAAATTGTCTACCAAGACAATTTGGAACCCAAAAAATCGAAACTCCCTCCAAATTTTAACTTAACATCCTTTTACATCTACCAATCCCTACAACTATAAATACCACCCATTCATTACACAACAACTAAGCATTCAATACAGACCTAAAATGGACACTACTCAAGCTGAACCACTGCCTTCACTGGAAAGCAGTCCTGCAGTGCCCTTGGATGTGGTGGATCTCGGACTGTCTTCACCTCCTAACAGCTCAGAAGAAGAATAAGCAGCTCCAGTTCCTACAGCAGAAGTGCACACAGGTATCAGGCGAAAACTAACAAGTGATGATAGGAAAATTTTAATTGAAAAATTGTTAGGTAGTTCTTGTGCTGGGAAACATCAGTGGCGTGTAATAAAAAATACAGCAAATGAGTTCAACATTTCATCCCGCACTGTAATCAGGATGTGGAAGACATCTAAAGAGCAAATGCTTGGTGGTCAGGCTGTAAATTTGCAAGGTCATTACAAGGGAAATGTAGGCAGAAAGAGGGTTGTGTTAAATGCTGAAAAGCTGACTGAAAATCATTGCATGAAAGGAAAATATGCGTGCTCTGGGCTATACAATGGAAGTTTCCAAATCCACGGTCCATAGATGGTTCAAAAGAAAGGAAATTAGAAGACATTCAAGTGCTATGAAACCAGCTTATTGAGTGAAGCTGGAACACTTAAAAGGTTAGAGTATTGTTTAAGTCACATAACCCCAGCTTCCCTTCCTGGTAGCCCTACTTTTCATGACTTTCATAACTACTTACATATTGATGAGAAGTGGTTTTACCTCTCTAAAGAAACAACAAGGTTTTACACTTTGCCTAATGAAAATGATCCATACAGATCAATGCAGTCCAAAAAGTTCATCCCAAAAATCATGGTTTTGGCTGTGGTTGGTAGGCCAAGGCTGGGTCAGAATGGGGAAGTGGAGTGGGATGGTAAAGTAGGTATATTCCCCTTCACTTATGAAGAACCAGGTAAAAGATCAAGCAAAAACAGGCCTGCTGGGACTGTAGTCACTAAACCAATCACAAGTGTGACAAGACCAGTTATTAAAGATATGCTTTTGAATACAGTTATGCCAGCAATTAAGGAGAAATGGCCAGATTCTGAAAAGAGAAATATCATGATTCAACAAGACAATGCTAGACCACATATTCTAGTTGATGACCCAGATTTTGTCAAGTGTGGGACAGAGAATGGTTGGAACATCCAACTCATATGTCAGCCCGCAAATAGCCCAGACCTTAATGTGCTGGACTTGAGGTTCTTTAGGGCTATTGATTCAATAAAAGATCAAAAGGCACCAAAGACTATAACACAATTAATTGATGCAGTTGAAGTAGCTTTCCATGAGCTGACACCAAGCACTTTGAACAAGGTATTTCCATGCTATCAAGGTGTAATGCAAAGTGTACTGCAAAACAA